GTCATGATCTTAAGGGGACATGACACTTATAGTAGTCAAGAAGAGACTACTACCTCCTCTTCAAGTGAGAGTGAGGTTGAAATAAAGCTTCAAAAGTCCAAGGTGGAGCCAATTTACCCTTTTGAAAGAGAGCTTCTAATGCTTAGAATAATCCTTCATAATCAACCTAGTGGTACCCTATCACAAAGAGAGAACATCTTTCATACAAGATGTAATGTTTTAAGTAATGTTTGTTCTCTCATTGTTGATAGTGGTTCATGGTGCAATTGTTGTAGCACTAGGTTGGTTAACAAGTTGAGTTTAATTACTATGTCACATCCTCAACCTTATCATTTGCAATGGCTTAATAAGGATGGCAACATAGTAGTTGACCAACAAGTGAAGGTTAAGTTTTCCATTGGGAAGTATGAGAACCAAGCTTTATGTGATATAGTACCAATGGAAGCTTGTCATATTTTGTTAGGAAGACCATGGCAATTTGAAAAGAAAACTATACATAATGGTCTTACTAATGAAATCACCTTCACTCATAAGGAAAAGAAATTTTTGCTTTATCCTCTCTCACCTCAACAAGTGGCTGAGGATCAAGCACAAATGAAAATCAAAAGAAAAAGAGAGAAAGTAGGGAAGAGTAAAGAGGAAGAAATATCCTCTAAGGGAGTTATGACTAAAGAGAATTGCTTTATCACTAGAAATCCTACGAAAAATATTCTCTTTATTCATAAAGACCTTAACTCTTACCCTCACACTGCCACTAGTCTTGAAGAAGAGATTCACAAATCCATTATTTTTAAAGAAAAAGAATCTCAACTTCAAGATTTGGTGAAGGAGAAGTGGACTTCACTTAGTTCTACTTCTCATGCTACTTCCTTGGTGGTGCCCAAGGTAGATAGCCTTCCTTTGTGTAGGACTTTTCCTACCTTAGTTGTGTCAATAATGCACCCAATTTATGGAATATATTATTTGTTGGATATAACATATGAACCTTCAAGGTTCCTTGTGACAAATTCTTTTCATAACTATCCAACAAATAATATAATCCAAAATTGTTTAGGAAATTTCTTAGTAGTATTTTCCTTATTTTCTAGGAAATGCCTAGGTTACCACATAGGGTACTTTAGGCAAGATGTTTTAGTTTTTAGGATTAAGTCTTTAGTGTGCTATAGTTTTAGTTTTAGCACATTTTTAGGATTTAGTAATATATCTAGTCTATGTTTAGGAGAGGATCCTATTCATTATATTATAAGGTCTAGTATCATTGATTTCTTTAGGTTCTATGAAAGAATTCCTTCTAGGATATGCATTTCACATTTATTTGTTGAGAATATCACCTCTAATGAATTGTATTATATATTTGTAGGTGTGGCCAATAATCATGAAGACCCTCGAGATTTGAGGTCAAATCATTTTCGAGAGGGAGGGGATGATAGACTATGGCCAAGGCCAAGGAATCCAAGAGGTGATACATTGAAGGAACCAAGAGAAATGAGATGATGGACCATGGGCCAAGGGCCCAATCATTAGAGCTATGGCCACCTTGAAGACCAGTGGGCTTTCCATGCCCAAGGCACTCTTCAATTTGGACCACTCTATCTTGAAGAGAAGGCATAGTTCTAGTTGTAAATATCTTGTACATAATTATCTTGTATAGGCTTATTTTTGCCTTTGTATTTGTGAGGCACTTTAGTTTCTTTTATTAGTCATTGTATGTTGTTTCTAGGGTGGGTTACTTGGAGAGTTTGACTCCATTTAACCTCCTTTGTTGATACACTTATTTTCTATTTTTTCAATAGGAAAAGAGGGGTGGCATTTAGCAATGCTTGAGAGTGTGACTAGTAATTGGGCCAGAATTGGGCTTAGGAAAAATTTTACATATTGGACTCATTTTGCTCCTAATTTTTCATAGATTTGATTTAGCTAGGTTTCATCATCATTGGATGAACCTAACTAAACCAAATCAAACATTTTTGAAATAATCAAAGTGAGCAAACTTGAGTTAGCCGCCCACCTTGCCTAGCTTCCTTTTTGGCCGAATTACTTCTCTAATTCTCAAGGAGTTGAGAAGCTTGTGCTACAAGCTTCTCCTTAGCTTGCTTTCCAAGTTTCTAAACTCACCTAGAAGGTCAACTAACCTTATCATGGTTCCTAGTAAACCATGGTTAATAATATGAATATTTTTTAATAAAAATAAATAAAAATCGAGTCATGCGGTTCAACTAGTGACCCACTGGTTCAACCTTTGACCCACTGACCCAGTACCTTAACCGGTTCGATGACCGGTCCGGTTTTTAAAATTATGCTTTGAAGTCTAACACAAAAAGAAATGATTCTTTGAAGTCTGAAACAAAAGATTCTTGTTATGTTTATTTTTTTAGAAAGAAAAAAGTGATCAATGAACAATGAGAAAATTTGCCCAAACACCTATTATGAAAAATGAGAAATACATTTATACTTACGCATGATATCTATAAAATATGAAAAGTAGGGCTATTCATGTTATAATTATATGTATCTCATAAATCATAAAGTCAAAATAAATAGACCAAATGCATAAAGATTAATAAGATTTTATTTTGAATTTTTTTAATGTGTGATTTTCTGACGACTAAAAAAACAATTGCCTTGCAGAAGCTTGATTTTGCATCATCAAGAAATGGATTTGCGTTGTTCGAAGCGGGAAGAAGTAGCTTCCACATCTTTTTCACTCATTTGACATGAAATTATGAATTAAAGTGCGTAAAAATCTCGCAAGCTAACACATCAAGTGAAATAAATATTTAGCGGGTGTATTGAATTAGGATTTTAAAGGACTTTTTTAATTGAAAAAAGTACCGTGAATTTTAAAAGACTTTGCAGGATTTTTATGACTTTTAAGATTTTTTAGGATTGCACAAGACTTTCAATCAGGATTTTAATGGATTCTGCAAGACTTTTAAGTTGAAATTTTAATGGATTCTGTAGGACTTTGTAAATTTTTCAAAATTTCGTAGATTTTTTACACATGATAAGAGTTCAAGATTTTTCTTATACATTCAAATTTAAAAAGAATCAAAGACAAAAATAATATTAAACAAATCTGGATAAATAATAATAATAATTCTTCATAATATCATGTCCTTCTAAATAATATTCACCCACATATCTATATTTATATTAGTCTTCTGAGTATTAGCATCTTTTTCGCTCTTGCTCCTGAGTTTTAATAATAGGTTTAAAATTATGATTTTCATTAACCGGTAATGTTGAAGATAAAGGTTTATCCACCACTCCAATTGAAAATTCATCAGAATGACATTCTTTACGAAAAAAGTTATGTAGTGTTGCACATGCTTAAAATTATTCTAAATGACATTTCAATTTTTTTATAATTTGTTATTTAAAATATTTTGTTTATAAATTTATAAATGATTAAAAAATAGTGGAATAACTACCCTACTCTCTTATAATTAAATATGTCCATTCATTTTATATTGGTATTTGAGTGAAAGTTTGTCTTTCATACACTTTTATTCATTTAAAATATCTTAGAAATTTATAAACATCAACTAGGAGAAAAAAAAATCTAAAATTTGTTACAAGTACAAAATAATTTTTTTAGTTTTTTAATTGCTTTTAATTATTCACTCATGACGAAATTTTTTTAACATTGAATTCTAAGATACTACAATGTCTTATGTTAATTTTCTTTTTTAAAATATAAAAAATTCTAATTTCATAATATAAAAATAAAAAAAATTATAATAAAAAAAGAAATAAAATAATTGTTGAGTCATAAAAGGAGAAGAATATCAGTAACAAATTCAAGAGAGGGAGAAAGATCACAGTTTTTGTGCCGAGAAGGTTCTTCTTCTAACTAAGATCCATTCTTATTTCATTCTACTCACAGAAACCCTAACTTAAATTCATTATATATATATATATATATATATATATATATATATGTATATATATATTTGCTCTAATAAATCTAAATTGATTACAAGGTCTTAAAGACTACCGTTGATTATAGAAATCATGATATCAATTTTAGCTTTCACCTTTCCCTTTTTTTAATGCATGTTATAAAAGAATTATTACTTAAAAGTTAAAATTTCAAATATTTGTTGTGTTATATAACTGAGAAACAATCTCAACTAAATAGAGCAAAATAGAGCAAGTCAATTAAAAAGAACGGAGAGAAAAATAGAATAAGCTAATGACACTATCATTTACATATAGAAGTTTCACCAAATAAAGGAATAGAATGAGAATAGTAGTATAGTATTATATATGAGCAATAGTGCAATATTATTAGCAAGAGAAAAAAAAATGGAGAAGACATGAACATAAAAAAAAAAAAAAAAGATGAAAAGTCACTTCAAACAATCCTCCAAAATCTGATGAGTTTGAATAAAATTATTTTATGAATTTGGTATTTATAAATACCACTAAAAAGTCTTTTAAAATCCCTCTAATAGAACAATCATTTAAAATCTATATTTTTGAATACTAATGGATTATTTTTAAAATGTAAAAAGTCTCAAATAAATACCAATAGATTTTAATAGACTCTTAAAAAAATCTTAAAAATCCATATTGAATATCATTAGATTATTTTTAAGTGATATAAAATTTTAATCGAATACCAACAGACTTTTTTTATTCAAAAATAAAATATTTTAAAATCTTATAAAATCCTAAACCAATACAAGTATTTTAACACCCGCATTGAGTATTATTTATCATCACTTCACTACTTTTCTAGATAAAAAATATATATATAAAAAATCACTTCAGTTTATAAATAAAGAAGTTGGCAAAAAAAAAAATTGATGTAAAACATAAGTTAATTTGTGTATAAAAAAGAAGTTAATTTGTTTACATCAAAAATCCAAAAATAGCTAAGAAGTTGGTGGAAAGCAAAATCTCATCCACTCCAGACAATATTAATATCAACATACAATATCAGAGCTTAAAATCGCTTTCAAAACAATCACATACGTAATTCAGTGACGACCATGCTTAAAAGCAGTTAATTTCTTCTCTTTTCTTTTTTGTTATTTTGGTAAGGTGACAAGTTACAGAATGAAAAATCCTCTTCAAAAAAAATGTTACTAAATGAAAGGAAATTTACAGTTTTTATGACCAAAAATGTTAGTAGCTAGTAGCAATACCCTCTACTCATGACTGGGAGAGAGGGGAAGACCTGTTACATGCTCTACACAAAGAAAAGAGAAAGTATTCTTACATGTTAGCTAAATCACCTCATCCCACATGAGGAAGCTGAACAAATTAAAACCTTGATCAACTTGCCCTTCCCTCCTCATAAAGAACTTCCACTGAACCCCATAATGGAGTAAAAGCCTTGGCCACAAAAAAGCACTCTTCGGCCGTGGCCACAAGAAGAATAAGAATCCACTGTGCTGCAAGTGATGAGTTTGTTTGCCTCTCTCTTTGATCCAGCTTAAATCATACATGAACGTTGAGACTGGTCAAGCTGGAAGGGATGTCATGTCAAATATTGATGACCTGTGCCTTTGGTGTGCATCCCTTCACATATCACATATGAGCTTGGATAAGAAAGAAGATCAAGAGTGTGTTTGGTTTGGTGGGAAGGTGCAAAATAAAGACTGAAATTTGAAAGGTCTTGTGTTTCACTCTTGGTCATGAGAGAGGCTGAAAAATGAAAACAAGGGACATCCCAAATTTTCAACCATTTCTTAATTTAAGTGTATCAAACATCAGATGTTTTTATTTTCAATTTTCATATTGTTTCAACCATAGTAAGTAGGCCCTACTTTGGATGCAAGTCTAAATTGATTTATATCCAAGGAGGGGTCTCTTCAACTTCCAAATTCAAGCAACAGATACAACTTTAAATGGCATGAATTCTCTTATTACAAAATTTATGAGATAGATCTCATTACTTGAGTGAGCTACTTCATCAAAGAAGACAGTTAGCAATCCCATATAAAGAATAAAGAATGGTATTCTTATGATGGCACTCAAAACAATCAAAATGAACAGTACATGATTTAGTGGCAACAAAAGGCACCTTAAATATCTGGTACTGATCAAGTAGTCTCTGGTGGAGATGGAAGTGCCCTATGCCGGAATAGCTTCACTAATGCTCTGCGTTCACAATCCTGCATAGATTGATGATGAACACACTTTATCAGTACCTTGACTGAAGCAACACCATAGAGAAAAAAACTTTTAGCTAGTTAAAACAAAACAAATTTCCACTCTTGTGCTTTACCCAGTGAAAGGAAAAGAGAGGAAGAAAAATATGACCATTAGGTATGACAGACTGCAAACTTGAACAGAAAATACCCCTTGAATAATTAGGCTTTCAATGGAGATCACATAATACATTCAAGATTATCTTACTTAAATCTAACCTTGACTATCCATGTATTGTTGCAAGGTTAAGATTAATTTCTCTGGCCTTTGTTACTTTGTGTGTGTATACTATAGAGAGAGAAGCAAATCTTGACCATTCAACAGAGGTTTAAAGGTCTACATTTGTTCCTCTCACTTTATATAGTAATGTTCTCTCTCTCTCTCTCTCTCTTTCTATCTATCTATCTATCTATCTATCTATCTATCTATCTATCTATCTATCTATCTATCTATCTATCTTTCTTGTGTGCGTGTGTGTACATGCGTGTGAATGAATTTTGTGTAAAAATTCACCTTGAACATATGCAGCTGAAACGGTCTCTCTGGATTCATTCTCCTGACTTTCAAATAAGTATAAGCAAAGCTTAGTTGATCACGAGATGTAAATCGATCAACTTCGTTGAACCAAAGACATGAAAATAAATTTGACATTGGCGTATGTGCCCTGATTATCAAGGAACCCTCAGGAACATCTGCAAGGTGAAAGACTCAATAATTGGAATCATATTATGCACAAGGAGACCCAACAAGTATTCCACAATGAACAAAGATGCAAACGAGACGCACAACTCGGAAGAAGATCATTTGACTTTGATGGGTCAACCTTCGGGAGGCCATCAGATTGGTAAAAGTCAAACTGTTCATCAATAGCTGCATGGTTGTATTTATTTAAGCGCTTATTTTGGAGTACCTCCTCCCAAACATTATGGCGGTCATAGTGATTTGAAATGGCATATTCTGCCTTCCTTCGCCACAAAAAATATTCAATAATCAGCATAGGGTCAGAGTTGAGTCGCATCTTGCTGTCAAGCCAAATTGAATACCTACCAAGCAATGATTTTTAAACAACATGAAAACAAGGAATAGAGAGCCAAAAACTTGGATGCTAGAACAGGTTGCTATAACTACCTAGAATTTGGGAAGAGACGATGTGATAAAAATTTTGGCACCTTGCCAGTTCTTCGCATGTCTTCATATGGCAAGTTTTTTACAATAATTATTTTCCACAAACCAATGTACCCTCTCTCATCAGGAATGTTTCCTTCTGAAGAAAGTTTGGATAGTGTTTGATCATCCAAGAACATAACAAAACAAATGTTGTCCTTTGAATATTGACTGATCTGCATTGCAGCAAAGAAGCATATATAATATTTTCCACATAATTAATGTATGCTTTATAAAGCAAAGACATAATTAATATTAATTAATGATTAATCTATCAATAAAATATCATAATAAAATAATTCAGGTTGATATTTAAGGTAGTGTTCTACTTCATAGCACAAAATATAGTAAATGTGATCAAAACAACATACATTGCAGAAATATTAATTTCAAGGAATGGCCATACTAATAAACAAATAAATAATCAATTATCACCATGAACAAAGGCAATATTTTAACAAAACCGAATCTACCTAATCACAGTAGATTTGATGTATCAAATGTCAAATTTGTGGAATGAACTTTCATTTGAGAGAGATCCAAGTCTACATTCTACAAGTGTCTCCTTTCCTATTAGTTTATTTACTACATTGTTATGACCCATTGCTTATTATTACTCTTCAAAACCTAGGACAGGGGAGGGGGGCAAAAGCAGAACATATGTATCATAGATCATCTGATTCTGACTCAATATCTTTGACATGGATATTACTTTTCTGGCTCCAATGATTAAAACTTTTATCACTTGATAAAACTAACAATATGACTTTTTGATTCCATTTCAGCATGCTGATCTAACAACACCTTTACCACAGACTTTTTGGTTTTATTATAGATATAATGTACAAAATAGCCAAGAATATTTCAAAAGAATTTAAAGAATTACCAGTCTACTTGTAGGCCTCCGAAGAAAATCAGAGCTTCCAAAAATGCAAGAAGAAACTGCAATCTTACATCCGAACATATACGCCTTATCTTTTTCATTTATATCAAATCCGGTGCTTGGATATCCTGGTGGCCCTTTGACAAAACCACAATGAAGTGTCTGGTTTTTTGCATAAAATGAATTTTCTCTTTCCTCTAGAGTCTGATGTCCTCCAAATCGAGGTTCAGATAAATCATTTTTGGATGTTCTTTCTTCATGATCAACATACTTTAGAGAAAACCATGTAAAATTCATATAATTTTTGGGTTCAACGAGGCCATCTACTGATTCCCGAAATCCAACTTCACAAGGAAAATCTGAAAGATTGATATTCGAGGAAAATATTGGAGGCAAAAAACCTAGTTAATACTAGAGTCAGCTTAGTGAGGAACACATAAATCCAAATAATTCTGACATATCATGAACAATGTTGATTTAGTTGACCAAATTCAAATATTAGCCAGTGATGTAACCAATGGCCTTAAAAATCCGAAAGGTTTTTTCTTTTTCATTTAACTCTGGAAACACCATTTGCATTTGAGATTTAAAAGTAATCAACATATGCTGAAGCACACATCAGTTGCAAATGATAATTATCATAATGTCACAGAAACAACATCAGCCAAAACTCCAGAAGTATAATCAAGTTTTGCCAGCTAAACAAATACGATTTGTATAACAAAACGTAACTATTTTGCTTGATGCTAACAAAACTATATCTTCCATTGTCCTAAAATGCTCTTCACTATATGGATGACAACTTTTTCTTGGTTATACTTCAGCAGCCATGTGATGGCTGCTCATTTTTCCACTTTGAAAACTTGTAAATTTATCCACTATTCAATGTTTCTTAGCTTTCTTTCACTATTGTTTTTTTTTTCTAATAGGGATTTCTCAAGAAATCGTCATTTTAGAAAGGAGGGGATGAAGCAAAGAGTTAGAGGTGAAGTTTGACTTCAAATTCATAAAACATAATTTAAAGATAAATTGGGTACATAGAAATGACTCTTACGCTTTCGGCGCTTTCCTTTAGGTGTCTTTCCAAGATCAGATGCCACAATATTTTCTTGTAGGTTACGTTCTTCTTGTAGATTGTGTGGTATTGTTGAGAACTTAGATTCCATTTTAGCTGTAACGAAATCATTGTCAAGAAATACAAGAAGTCAAAAACCAGCCAGTAGGATTTTTCTGAGACATGATGACATGACTTAAAGTGGTAAACTAATTGTATAAAACCATACAAAATATCAGGAGAAAAGGCCCATGTCTCTGGCCTCACCTTGATAAAACATTTTCAAACCAAAAAATGTTAAAAGCATCGACAGAATTGCAGTGAGAAGGAAAATCCAGCGTGAAAGCTTGAGTTTGGTAATCCGACCAAACCTTCGACCACGACGTAAAACTCTAGAGCCATGATCGCTTTTTCCAAAAGAATTGAATACAGCATCAACGATGCCTCTTCTCTCACTGAACAATTCACCATTGGTTCTATGCAGAGCCATTCCAAAGCATGCCCCAAGATTCAGACACAGACCAGTTCATCTGCAGAAGGATATATAGTTTTCAACTTCTAAGTCACATCAAAACGCAACTAGAAAACCATAAATCATCCATGTTGCCAACTGAAGATCTTATGCAAAGTTGCAAACTAAACTCATATACACAAATCCATGTATGCTTAAATAGTCAAGATTAAGATGTTAATACAAGCTATTAATATAACAGACCTCAATTTAAACCAATAATTTCCAAAGGAAAGAAAGCAGCTGCAGATTACAACATCACTATCAGAATAAAAGATCATATAAAGCAATAAATGAAAATATCAAGCTAAAACTTCATCAACCATCCTTCTAGCCCCTCCAAGCAGCTAGCATGAAAGGGAAAGCATTCACTTAAAATGCCGCTACCTAATAACAAAAACAAAACAAAAAAAAAAGTGATGCAATCACTACCCCAAAAAACCCCATTTATTTTGGAACACATAACTTCTCATTAACCCTGCACCAACCATTGGATTATCCATTACATTTTAAACATCATTAGAAACAAACAAGAAACCATACTCAAAAACTTAACAAAAAAATTCACATTCACTCCCTCCCAATAAGAGATAAGCAAAGATGAAAATTGAAAATCAAAAAATTAAGTCAAAATGAAAACATGGGTATGCTACAACTTACAGGGATTGACCAAAATGGCAATGCAGAACATAGAAAATCTCCCCAAGACGAGATCTTTCAAGGAGAGACGAAATTCAAACACTGAGATTGTCACAAAAAAAGGGATCCTTCGAACATGGGTGTGTCGAAATGATTGGGTGAGGCTGAGGATCTATGAAGGGTGATGCACCGCCGCAGCATAAAAGCATGAGGTGGTGGGTATCCTGTGGTGTGGTGTAGCTTTATGAATCAAAACAACAGGATCCGCACTTTGGCCATGGCAAAGTTTCCATTTCTCGCTTCGGTTTCGTTTTCTCACTTTGCGCGTGTGTGTGTGTTTTCCTAGCTTTCTTTTTCTGACACCGACAGTGTAACGCAGCGTTTTCCTTGGTGGGTCGGTGGTGATGATTCTTTCGATCTATGTGTGGTATCTCATGTTTTATAATAATTCTAATACGATGATGCTTTTTTCGATTCTGTGTTTTCAGATGTTGTTCACCTTGTGTTAATCGCCTTCGTTATAGTAAATTTGCGCATGTGTTTCGATCGACGATAGCTTTAGTAATTAGGAGTAATTGAGACATGAGAAATACAGCTATGTTGTAGGTATCCCCTGGCCTAATTTACTTTTACAGTATTTTAGAATGAGTGATTCCAATGTATATTGTGGTTCACATACACTTGGTCTACGAATTAAATTAATAAAGTGATACTCTACTAGTAGATTACACATGTATTAATAAAAATAAATTAAAAAAAATAGATTAGCCTGTCTAAAGTAGGTATAATTCGTACTCTATGATTATGATTAGTGAATGCATTAATAGATGTCTAAAGTTAAAAGATTTTTAATTAAAATCTAAAAGTAAAGCATGCACTCCGAACTTAACACAATTCTTTTCGTGTAATTTTTTTCATTACTAGATGGAAGTTCAATAAATAAAAGATAAGTCATGGTTATCAAAATAAATAAATAAAAAATAAGACTTGCAAATTTTTTTAAATTTTAATAAATTTCAGCTAATAAAAAAAATTAGAATAGCATACAAGTCAATGTGATACGATTATGTCAAATTTTTCACATGAAGGATGTGAAGTACGTCTTTAGGTTTGGAACAGGGGTGGATAAGAAAACCAAAACCCAATTCATAATTGAATTAACCAAAGAAAAAAAATATTACTAGTTCGAACAGTTTTCTTAGATAAAACAAGTGAAAATATTATAAATTATTGGACAGGTTTATTTATTTATTTTCGTGAAAAATTGAACCCATCCGAATATACTATATTGTTAATGCATAAGAATTTGAGAAGTTGACAAAGATGGTCAAAATTATGAATATTTAAAATATTTAAATTTAATATCGTTGAAATGCAAGTAAAGTTTTATATCGTTTAAATAAGAGAATGAAGACGAATTTATATATAAACAGTTTTCTCTATCGATTAAGAGAACTTTTAAAAAATGTCCAAAAACAAAATAAAAGCTTAAGTTCAAAATAGATAATATCTTACTAATATGAGATATAATTATGTGGTGAAATTTTCTAGATACACAAAAAGTGTTATCAGAGTTAATGATTGACCAAATAACCAACTTGACGAGTATGGAATAGCATTCGCTAAAAAAAGAAGGATAAATCATGATCCTTTATTAAAGAAAAGATTATTGAAATTTTCTAGGTGCACAACAAATATCAATAAAAAAAATATTGAACGGATGAGTTCGAACAGTTTTCTCATATAAAATAAGTAAAAATAATATAAATTGTTGAGCGGATTTTTTTTTCGTGAAAAATCAAACTTGTCTAAATTAATTGTTAATACATAAAAAATTTAAGAAGTTAACCTTTAAAGATGGTCAACATTATGAATATTTAAAATATTTAAATGAATTTCATTACATCATCATCATCTTCAATAAAAATACATGTTTTACCTTAAGTAGCAGTCCATCATTTGTGCTTGCAATTGCAGCATACACAATTACACCTATACTACATTTTCTAATAAAATAATAATATAACTAATGTTAATAAAGTAAAAGTTAAAAGAAAAGTCTTGGAATGAAACATGGATCTCAAACTCGCTTCATAGCAAAGTTGTTGATGAAAGCATAGGAAGCCTATAGTTGATGCATCCAACCTAGTAAAAAAAATAAATGCTTTGATTTGTTCAATGGAAACTTTAGAATATATTTTCATACTTTATATATATTTTTTCTTATTATATTGGTGTTGTATGTAAAGCTTATTTCATCTGTGCTCAACTCCACCACATTTTGTGGTTGGTTGTAGCGATGAGGACTAGTGTTCATCATGGTCGTTTGTGGCCATGAAAGTTTTAGAGATTTTTAGACTGTGTTCTATTTCATGTCAACTTTTTCAATGTCTTTCTATCATTAATGTTTCTCCTTTCTCGCACCTGGTTACACCATCATGTGTGTTGGGTCGTCTTTTTCCTTGTTTGTGCACTTAGACATTGAATTTTTTGTGAGAAACATTTTTGGAATGAGAAACCTAAAGGTACCCACCTATTTTCATCCAAACTTGATTTAGTTTGAACCCAACTTAAATCGATGGTCAAACGGGTGGTAACAGTGTATGTTTTTTCACATTCAATTGGTAATAGTTTCCATTTTTTACATCCAAAACCGTTTAATGATCATACCTAGAACCCTAGTTATATACTTGTTACAAACAAGTTAAAATAAAAGTTTATGTTATAAAAGTATAGAAAGTAATGGGTAAATTTTGTGTTTTAAAACTTCAATATCACCTCAATGGAAGAATTAATCTTGTTAATACAAATATAAAAATTGATAGGAACACTCTCTTCTATTGGTTAAAATTTAATTAAAAAATACAATATTTTTGTAAGTTTCATGCATTATTTAATTAATTTTTTATTTTAGTTTTTAATAAATTTTATCCAATAATTATGTGTTAAAAGGTGCGTTTTCTAAAATGTTCATACCTAATACATAAGCTGAAAATACAGTTACATAAGACTTTGTGGATGATAAAGTGTGTACTAGTGGAGTCTCACACATGTTTTTAGAGAAGTAATGATAAACAATTTATAGAATTCAATTTCATAATATATATTAAACCCACTAAATCTTGAATAATATATATCTATTATAAAGAGAATATTTTATTTTTTGTGTACATAATTTTTGAATTATTTTACTCTCAAATTTTTAAATAATAAAAAATAATATTAAAAATTAATTAAATTTAAGACTTGAATTCAAAACTTTAAGATTTAAAAACGAAGTACAATATCAGTTAATTCAACAAAAATTAATAATTCTTAAATATATATATATATATATATATATATATATATATATATATATAAACACAATTCCTACACAAGCATCAGCATTCAAAACAGATACTAATGTTGTGTTGGCCAAATTCAAAAAATTAGAAAATTAGGAACAATGGGCCTGGTTGTTAAATTTAAGTATATATATATATATATATATATATATATAAACACCATTAGTATTGTATATATATTCATAGGAATTGTTAATATGCATATCCCAAGATATAAAATGCCAAGGTACTCAATTTATTAAGTGAGTATCTATTACTTACATAGTTCTAGTCTCTTAGGATATAAAATGTCGAGGTACTCAATTTACAAAGTGAGTGTCTACTACATATATAGTTATAGCCCCTTAGGGCCTCAAAGGTGATTGAGCTCTATGTTCTATAACGGGTGTTGGCAAGAAAGTATTAATAGGTATACCATTTGGAAAAATAGTTTATAAAATTTGTTGTTTAGAGTTTACAAAATTGGTTGTACAATCGATTTTATTCTCGCCAATATTGTATTTAGGTACTTTTAAAATTGTCTTCTAATTAATATTAAAAATACATTTAAAATCGATTGTCTAATAATTAATTTTTTATGTCTTTCAAACTTACATAATGTCTTCCATATTTCATGTGACACCTTTCTATCATGAGTAATTAAATAAAAAATTTAATATGTAATAAATTTTAAAAGAAAACATAACTAACTAAGGTGTAAAATTAAATTAAGGCACAAACTGCCTATTTGAACAAAACTCTAATTTAAAACATTATTAATTAAAAGTTGAACAATTCCAAATAAAATACTAAAACTATAAATCTTCGCCCCAATGTCACACTAATTAGAGTAAAACCCCTAAACAAATAAAGTTCTAAGTCTCATCTCCATCAAATACATCTCCCTATACATGATCTATTTCTACAAATGGCAATCAACCTAAAAAAAATAACGCAAACATAAGGAGTAAGAATACATCTCATCCACACACAACATATATGAAGTATAATAGTAACTACACACATCCACATTATTAGTTAATCTCCAATATCCATCAATCCTTATCCACACATCCAGAACAATAATGACAATGCATTAATTTATCGTTAATAACCAACAAGACATATACTTCAATCATTCATAATTGTAATTATAAAGACTCTTGTAGATTCATGTTCCTAACTCTATATGCATGTGATACCAAATCTCCTCATCAACCTCTACTTAGAATAGCCTAAGAGCCATAGAACGAGACCACCCATTTACAGTGTAAGAACCACTCATCTATAGAAATTCTCCTTGAATCACCCTCAACCAAGGGACATTCAATAAGGTCCTATCAAAGTATTACAATTGACCATCATTGCCTCCCATTTTCGTTAGAGGTTCCCCACCATAACACCTCCCAGAGCATTGGTAGATGACCTATAATATCTCACTTGCATAGACTCACACTATCTTGTAAATAAAGTATGTATGCATGGACTCAACAATCACATCTAATCACTTTTCTCATAGTAATTCATCACATCATGCCTTAGTATAACTTCTCATACAACAACATTTATACATACACACACACAAGAATACATCATTCAATTAACTTCTTGTACACTGTGAACTCATTTCTCTCATCTTATTAATTTATAGTGTTAATCCCTCCTCACGACTTCTCAAGTATTAATTTATTCGCACAGTTAACGTTATTTGGGAAAATAGTGTGGCGCTTGGTGATGCCAGACTCATGCCTGGCACGGAGAGATCAATGACCTCTCTACTAAACTCACTCTTGGTGTGGATATCCCCACACCCAATGTTGAGGAGTCAGTGACCCCTCTAGAACCCTTTTGCCCAATGCACATGGTTAGGGCCACACTCGACATCCCCACATCTCCAAAATCAATGTCAAATGGCATTAGGCACAACACCTCACGCCCAACACAGAGAAGTCAAAGACTTTTTTTGTAGTCTCGCACTCGGTGTGACTATTCTCACACTCGACACAATTGTTGATTATGAACTTCGTAGAATCACAATTTGCATAGTTCATTTTCCCTAATTTCATACATATTCATCAATTTACAATCAATTTGATCAAACGATCATTAAATATTGCAATAACTTTATTACATCATCAATTCATCAAAGTTCATCCAATTAAACCTAAAGCCTCCAGATTCATACATGTAATACCCAAACCTTCAGGATACATAAACTCATTAC